CTCCTCCTCCTCCTCCTCCTCCTCCTCCTCCTCCTCCTCCTCCTCCTCCTCCTCCTCCTCCTCCTCCTCCTCCGCCTCCTCCTCCGCCTCTCTCGGGGTCCGTTTTTGCAGCTCTCCTGATCCGTCCGCCTCCCTCCGTATTTCCCCTGTCGCCGCTGCGCACGCCTCCGGCTCTTGCTCACAAGGACTGCATGTTCTGAGCGCGGCCTCCCCTCTTAGGAGGGGAAAAAACATACAGACACAATTCATCGTCGATTCCCACGAGAATGTGGGAAAATATGGGAAGTGGGGGGGAAGACAGAAACCCAGAAGATATGGCAAAATATGGGGAATCTTGTTATTTGTGTGTATTTATTTGTGTGTCCCATGGCCCCTTCACTCTCCCCCCCTCCGCGCCCCCTCGCCTCCAGCCGCGCCTGCCTTCGTGCCTCGATTCTCGACGCCTCGCGTGTCCCCGCCAGCCACTCCGTGCTGGTCACTCCTTGGTGCAAGGTCTTCGTGTTCGGCACGCTCTTCTGCCGCCTACTTCTGGTCGGCTTCGGCTCGCGGCCTCTAGCGTGCCGTCGCTCACTGTTTTTCCTTTCGCTACCGGCGCGGCCCGCCGTAGCAGGTTCGGCGTTCGACCCGTTTCGCGCGCTCGCGGACCAAACAATCCCCGCCAGCCCATCCAGAAGCGATCGCCAGGCCTGCGCGACGTGTCGCTGGTTGCCTGTTTCTCCAGACGTATCGCTGGCTACCTGCTGCTCTCATGTGTCACCGGTCGCCCGCAGCCCTGGACGTGTCACTCGTTGCCTGTTGCCTTAGACGCGTCGCATCTTGGGTCCGATGGCTCTTAAAAAGGGGGGGTCCTAAATGTAGATCCCCCTCCTCGATGGCCCAATGCTGGATGCATGATTGGCCCTCTTGGGGCCTTCTTGGGGCCCTTTTGGGGCCTTCCTGGGGGCCTGTTGGGCCCTTTGGGTGGGTCTGGGAGGTTTCGTGGGGCCGTCTGGGCCCCCACGGCCAAACCAAATGATTAGCCCCCCCCCCCCCCTCGGAGGCTCAGAAATGACCTGTTGGGGCGCTCTTGGGGTGCTCTTGGGCGTCTCTTGGGCGCTCTCGGGGCCGTCTTGGGTCTCTCTTGGGCCCCTGTTGAGCCGTCTTGGGGCCATTTTGAAACCTCAGAGGCCAATCGGAAGAGAAAAAGCAAGACGGCAACATTGACTTTCCCAAGGTTTTGTAAGAATTCTGGACTCTTGGAGGATGCCTGGGGAGGCTTGAGTGGCATTTGGAATCGTCTTGAGGCTGTCTTGGGGCCTCTGGGAGGTAGTTATGTCGGCGGCTATCTGGAGCCATCTTCGGCTATCTTGCGCCATTGTGGAGGCTGTCTTGGACTGACGAGTGCCCTCTTGGAGCCATCTTTGGCCATCAAGGACGCTCACACTACCATGGCCCCTCCCAGGCCCAAGGGAGAGGGTCGGGGGAAGGGTCAAGCTACCCACCCGCCCGCAAGCCGTCTAGCTCATTCCCACCTGCCCTCCCAACACATAAGTATCACCCGAGCCTGAGCATGTTCAGCGGTCGTCTTTGGATGAACAGCTATTGGGAAGCAAAGCCGACCTCAGGTGCGCGATGCTTGGGCGAGGTGCGCCACGCGTGCCAGGCGCGCCACGCGCGCCAGGCACCCCTGAGGCCCGAGCGTGACAGGCACTCCTGGTGCGCCAGATGCTCCATGTGCTCCGAGTACGCCAGGTGTGCCGCACACTCCAGTCGCGCCAGGTGCGCACGTTCGGGGCACGTGCAGAGTGCGTCAGGTGCGACTGCGCACGTGACATCACACATTGGGAAACATGTCGGCCCCCGCCATCCTTATCGAAAGCTAATACCCATCATTGTGTCTGGTGGGCTTGCGCACAGCAAGCCACGCGCCACCACCCCCGCTGTCTCTGTCAACAACCACTTGACAGTGATTGCGGGATGTCCCCGCATGTTCCAGATTTGGCCGCGAGTTTTTTTTTTTTTTGTGTGTCAGGGTGGTAGCCCCAGCAGGGAATCTGCTGACACCCCCTTCCGTCCTTGTCAACAACAAAACAAACTGCTCGCGGGCCTCCCGAACATGACTCAAGACTTTGCCGCAAAGTGTACTTTGCATGGTTTTTTTGGCAGGAATGGTGGGGGAGGGCGCGCATCGGGTTGGCCGCGCATGCTCCACATGTGGAGGCAGAGTGCGGTTTGTATTGTGTTTGATAGGGATGGTGGCGGGGCCGCATGGAGTCGGCATGGTTCCGGGTTGGCCGCCGTCCGGGTGGGGGAGGGGGTGTATACTAATGAGGAACAATGATCAAGACACCTCCAAATAGCAAACGCTCTAGCTCATTCCCACCCGCCGTCCCAACACATAAGTATCACCCGAGCCTGAGCATGTTCAGCGGTCGTCTTTGGATGGACAGCTACTGGGAACCAAAGCGGGGCCCATGTGCGCGACGCTGGGGCGAGGTGCGCCACGCGTGCCAGGCGCGCCACGCGCGCCAGGCACCCGGGGGCCCGAGCGTTCCAGGCGAATCTGGTGCGCTAGATGCGCCACGTGCTCCGCGGGCGCCAGGTGTGCCGCGCACTCCAGTTGCGCCAGGTGCGCCACGTTCGGGGCACGTGCAGAGCGTGTCAGGTGCACTTGCGCACGTGAAAGCACACATCGGGAAACATGTCGGCCACCACCATCCTTGTCGAGAACCAATGCCCATCACTGTATCTGGTGGCAGGCGCACAGCAGGCCATGCGCCACCACCCCCGCCGTCCTTGTCAGAAACCACTTGACAATGATCGCGGGGTGGCTGCGCATGATCAGACTTGGTGGGCTTGCGCACAGCAAGCCACGCGCCACCACCCCCGCCGTCTCTGTCAAAAACCACTTGACAGTGATTGCGGGATGTCCCCGCATGTTCCAGATTGAGCCACGAGGTGCATCTTGTATTGTGTTTTGTCACGGATGGTAGCCCTGCGCGCAGCCGGCTATATGCTGCCACCCCCGTCGACCATGTCAAAACGATACGCAGTGCTCGCGGGCCTCACGAACATGACTCCAGACTTTGTGCCCGATAATCTTCGTCGCCGCCCCTCTTCCTGAAAGGAGGGCGTTAAATTCGGATCGGGATACATCGGTGATCTCTGAGAGCTGGCGGCTCGGAAGGACGCATCAGGCGCGGCCTTCGCAGAGCGTTCCGGCTCCTCCGGCTCCTCCGGCTCCTCCTCCTCCTCCTCAACTCCTCCTCCTCCTGAGCTAAGAAGCCCAGCGCGTCCACAATTCCACGGGCACGCGGAAGGACCAACAGCTGTTCCCCCCGCATTGGCATTGACCCGCAGGGACTCGTACTCAAAAGGTAGCGAGCTTCTCTCACGGTGCCACCCTGGAGCTCACCCTTTGAGGCTTCGGGGTATGCCCCGTGCCGGCCCCAGTGAGAAATCATGGCCGTTGCACAGCCAAATCGCAGGGGATTTTTTTGCCAGACGCGCGCAAAGCACCAGTATTGGTTTGTTGACGTTGACTCCCTTATGCGGATGTCCTGTCCTGTCCTCCTCTTGAGAGCGTTCTGGAGCGCTCCAGAGGCTGTCTTGGGTCGCTCTCCAGGGCCCGCCCGCTTTGCTTGCACCGACGCCTCGTGTGTGCGTCGCCGCGTCGGTGTTCTGCTCACTGCATCTGTGCCTGCGTCGACGCGGCGGCTACCCCAACGCGGGCGTTCAAGGTCTAAAACCGCCAGTGGCCCAGAATCGGCCAATATTCCAAGAACAAATCACATAAACATAAACTGGTAGCGTTCCGCGCGGATTTCTTGGATCCGCGTCTGGGCCCCCTGGCGGTTCCTCTGGGGCCGCCCCTGGTGCGTTCCGTTTGCCACAGAGGGGGCTCCAGCGCCAATCCAAGAAATCCGCGCAGAGCGCCAAACAATTATGTTTATGTGGTTTCTTCTTTTCCTCATTATGGAACGATCAGGCGATCGAAAAACCGCCGATCGTTCAAGGTTGGAGGATCCACGCGGTGTCCAGAATCAGCGCTGAGGTCGTCACGACACGAGCTTGTCGTATTGCGCTTCGTCTGCACGTCGCGAGACGATGGTACGGCGGTCTGCAGCGCTTGCCTCAAGCAGCTGTTCCTCCGGTTGGAGCATCTGTGTGGATCGGCCGGCCGCTAACTGAACACACGCACACACACGAACATTCGAGCTCGTTTCTCCGTGATTGCGGGTCAGTCTTTTCCGCATAATGGCCCATTCTCTCCTGATTGTTGTCTTCAGTTGGAGGAGGGGCCGCGTTGCATGTGACCCAGGACATGTCCAACAAGAACGACCTTATGAACTCGGCAAGCCTGGGCACTGGCAAGCTCAAGCAGGAGTTCTTCAACGTCACGAACCGCGGTATGGAGACAGTCGCGTGGTCCCAGGACACGTCTTGGGTCGTCGATTGGGAAACAGCTCATTCAACTCAAGTTGGGACAAACACTATGGATGGTAATACAAACACAATGTGGAATGCTGGGGGGGTACCCCGGTACCATAACGCATGGTGGATCGAGTTTAATCTTGGCTCGGAGTACACTCTGCAAGGTATTCGAATCCAAAATTGGGGCGATACGACACATGATGTTACAAAGGCTGTGCTTTACACGTCAACGGCACAAGGCGGAACATTCAACTCTGTTGTTGCTTCGCTAGGATCAGTGACCGCGGGAATTAGTACCGTGCAGGACTTTGACGTCGATTACGACACCCCAGTGCAGCATCTTCGACTGGTGATCACGCAAACCGCAACTGGTTATCAACCATATATTCGGGAGATCGCGTTCCAACTTGAGGACAGTCAAACGCCCAGCCCGACGTCCAGTCCGACGCCCAGTCCCACGCCCAGTCCGACGTCCAGCCCGACGCCCAGCCCGACGCCGAGCCCGACGCCGAGTCCGACGTCCAGCCCGACGCCCAGCCCGACGCCGAGTCCGACGCCGAGTCCGACGCCCAGCCCGACGCCCAGTGTCTCGGGCACGGCGACTGCCACTGGAGATCCCCACCTTCAAAATATGTATGGCGAGCGGTATGACTTGATGAAAGTGGGCCAGCATGTGTTGATACATATCCCGCGCGGGCAGGGCCCTGAACACACATTACTTCGCGTGGTGGCCAAGGCGCTTCGAGTGGGCGGGAGTTGCGCGGATATCTACTTCCAAGAGATAAACATCACAGGGTCTTGGGCACTGGCAACCGGGAGGGGAGGGTACCACTACGTGTCGAGCAGTGACGCTGACGAGGCTCCACAGTGGCTTACCTTGGGTAAGGTCATGCTGAAAGTCGTGCATGGCCGCACGCGAAGTGGCACTAGCTACTTGAACCTCTTCGTCAAGCATCTGGGGCGAGCAGGGTGTTCTGTTGGAGGCCTCCTCGGGGAGGACGACCATAGCGACGAAGCCACGCCTCCGGCCGAATGTCAGCATCGTATTGGTCTTCATTCCAAGGCCCTGGAAGTGTCTAGCCATAGTTCTTCCACAGTCTCGGTAGGAGTCGCAACGCTGGCTTGATTTCGGCCCCTCCGTGTACTACGATACGGGCCGGTTGCGCAAGAGATCCACTCTTGCACAAGACCCCCTTCATGAATTATTGCCATGTCCTCCCCAGGCAAATTGGCGGCGCGGTACGGAGCGACGCACCTCGCGTTGGAGCTGTCTGATGCCGGTCCTCGCCAGCCTGTCCCGCAGGTGCAGCAAGGCGACGAGCATACCGCTACAGGACAAACTCCTCTGCATTTTTTGGAGGTCTCTCTCGTCTTTTCTTTTGCGCGCTCATGATTACAGAAGGTACGAAATGGAAACATATCATCAGCATCACCACTTGTATCCTCCTCATGACCCAGAGCACCGTTTGCTAATTGCTACAGGTCCCGTCAGGCTCAGCTTTTCAGGTTATGTTGACGACCTTACAATCCTTCGGGACAACTTTTTTAACCGATCTGGGCCTGACCTTCGGTAAGCTGTGATTGCTCGCTGAGGCTATTGGGCTGGAGCTGCACTTCGGTAAATGTATCGTTCTTGTCTTTAGGCCTCTGGACCTGAATGCTTTTTAACTGGTGGACGTGAGCGGTTTTCGGTTGTGACTTGGTGCAGGCCTCTGATGGTGTCTGTGGGGCCAGTTGCTCGCGTCAATAGCTTCCCCACGCAGTGCGACAAATTGTTGACGCTTCGCGTACCCCCAGCGGTGTGGCCATGGGCCGGGCCCACAGGACTCTCCTCAGGGCCGGCCCATTGTCCGTGATCGGGACTGGTGGGCCCCTGGAGTCTGGCGGTCGCCTCGGAGTGGTTCAGCCTTCTGTCGCACGCAGTGTTCCATCCTGACTTCGTCCCAGCCTTTCAGGCAGGTCTACGCCGTCGTCGCGGTTCTTGCTCAGCTTACCTGGCTGGTATGCGCCGTCGGCACGGTCTTGGCCCTTGGTGCCCCGCTGGCGACTCGACCATCGTTTACCTCGCCTTTCCCGCCATACTGTTTGGGAGGGGCTCAAGTGCAGGACACTCACCTGCTCCCGCGCCTCCATCCGTGTGGTCTGACGCCGCAGCGCGTAACACCGAATTCCGTGGCATTTTGCTCTGGGCTGCACGATGCTCGAGCTTTCCTGGGTGCCCATCAGTCAGCCAGCCCTCGCCCTGCTGCCCCAGCGGCTGCCTTGTGAGCTGGCCTGGCCTGTCTGAGTTGCGCCCTGCTGCTAATTAGGTTTGCCCGTAGGCCCGGACAACTTCTCTTGCCGCCTGCGCTCCCGCTGGTGGCCGCGACCAAAAAAGTACCCCCAGCGGATTGCGGCCCTGTCAGCCCTGGCCCCTGGTCCCTTCAGCTCCACAGGCCTAACCCCCTCGTTGGCGCATGGAGCCCCTGAGTGCACGTGTTTCAGCCTGTGCCCTCCTGGCTGTCGGATGACTGTGTTGACTACGTCCACGGTTCCTGGCAGCGGTACCCACGGCACTCTCGTGTTCATTCGACCCCGTGCCTGAGACGTGGATTGCCCTGTTCTTGGTCAGCTCTCAGACGTCGTCGACCCTGTTCGTGAGTGCGCTTGGCTGTTTCTGATCCGGTGGTTCAGGCGTGTTACGGTGTCGATCACATCCATCGTTCCCCTGGCTACTCCGTTGGACCGCCCGGGTTCACCCCGTGGACGGTTGTCTGCAGGATCAGTACTCCCTTCAAGAGTCTCGGTGTGCGACTTTGGTGGCGCCACCCCATGCACTAGTTCCATGGCCAGTGAGTTTCCCTGGTTTGCTGGTGCAGCGTACTGGTGGTGGTCTTCCTGGCCACATCCTGGTACCCCCCCCGCGCCATTTTGGCAGCGCTCCAACCCTGGTTGGTTAATCGTGCATGTGCGCGCTCCTGGTCCTGGTACCTGGCAGCTGCAGCTGCAGCCCGCACCCCCCCTCTCGCCAGCCCGCCCGCTTGGGTGCTGCTTAGGTCGTCGGCCCGTCGGCGTTGGGCAATTAGGCGCTTGCGCGGCCCGCTCGGACCTTACTCGCAACCGGCGCTCTCGCCTGCGGCTGCGACGCAAAAAATATATCCCCAGCGGCCCAGCGGTGACTAGTGTTCGGACGGCTTTCGACCCGCCTCCTGTTGACCAAAATGTATCCCCAGCGGCCCATCCAGAAACGATGCCCAGGAGAGTTGGGGTGACCAGGGAACGGTAGGCGCAAGATAGGGGGCAGCCGTCATTTGTCGAATGAGGAGGAGGAGGAGGAGGAGGAGGAGGAGGAGGAGGAGGAGGAGGAGGAGGAGGAGGAGGAGGAGGAGGAGGAGGACGAGGAGGAGGAGGAAGAGGAGGAGGAGGAAGAGGAAACATAAGAAGAAGGCGAATAATATTAATTTTAAGAAAAGTAAGAAGAATAATACGAAGAAAAAGAGTAATCATATGAAGAAGAAGAAGAAGAGGAAGAGGAATAATACGAATAATAAGAAGAAGACTAATAAGAATAAGAAGAATAAAAAAAAGTAGAAGAATCATAATAAGAGTAATACTAATAATAACAAGACTAATAATAATAACAACACTAAGAAAACGAATCAGAATAATAATAATAAGAAGAAGAAGACGAATAATGATAATAATAGTAGTAATATTCTTCTTCTTCTTCTTCTGATTCTTAGTATTATCATTATTCTTATTATTCTTATTCGTCTTCTTCTTATTCGTCTTCTTCTTATTCTTAGTATTATTATTATCATCATTATTACTATTACTAGTATTATTATTAATATTAAATAATAATAATAAGAACAAGAAGAATATTAATAATAATATTAAGCATAATAAGAATAAGGAACATAATAATCAGAATACTAATAATAAGAATAATAAGAATAAGAATAAGAACAAGACGAATACTAATACGAATACGAAGACTAATAATAATAATAATAATAATAATATTAAAAATAATAATAATAAGAATCGTACGAATAATAATAAGAAGAAGAGGAGGAGGAGGAGGAGGAGGAGGAGGAGGAGGAGGAGGAGGTGGAGGTGGAGGAGAAGGAATAGGCAGACGATAAACAGGAGGACGAGGAGGGCGAGCAAAAGGGCAGAGGCCTCGTGGATGTCCGGGGGCTGAGAGAAAACACACCACATTAATTTCCTAAAAAGGTTGATTTCCTAAAAAGATTTTGGACGGATTTTGGCCTCTTGGGGGCTGCCTTGGATGGGGGTGCTCCGAGGCAGCTTGGAGCCCTCTAGAGGCGGTCTTGTTGGAGCCTCTAGGAGCATCTTGGGAGCCATCTTGAGCAATCTTGAGCCATCTTGAGCTGTCTTGGAGGCCATGCTGGGCTCTCTGAGGCCCTCTTGGAGCCATCCTGCGCCATCTTGGACGCTCCAGTCGGTTGCGGGGCGCCTGGTCCAGGTCCATGCGGAGGGGTAGGGGGAGGGGTCAAGCTACCCACCCGCCCGCAAGCCGTCTAGCTCACTCCCACACGCCCTCCTAACACATCAGTAACGCCCGAGCCTGAGCATTGTTCAGCGGTCGTCTTTGGATGGGCAGCTACTGGGAACCAACGCCGACCCCAGGTGCGCGACGCTGGGGCGAGGTGCGCCACGCGTGCCAGGGGCGCCACGCGCGCCAGGCACCCCTGGGGCCCGAGCGTGCCAGGCACGCCTGGTGCGCCAGATGCGCCACGTGCTCCGAGTGCCCAAGGTGTACCGCACACTCCAGCCACGCCAGGTGCGTCACGTTCGGGGCACGTGCAGAGTACGGCAGTTGCGCCTGCGCACGTGACAGCACGCATCGGGAAACATGTGGTCGGCCCCCACCATTCTTGTCGAAAACCAATAACCATCATTGTGTCTGGTGGGCCTGCGCACAGCAGGCCACGCGCCACCACCTCCACCTTCCCTGTCAACAACCACTTGACAGTGATCGCGGAGTGGCCGCGCATGGTTCAGACTTAGCCGCGAGGTGCATTTTGTATTGTGTGTTTGTCAGGGATGGTAGCCCTGCGCACAGCAGGGAATATGCTGACATCCCCGCCGTCCCTGTCGAAAATAAAGCACAGTGCTCGTGGGCCTCACGAGCATGACTCAAGACTTTGCCTCAAAGTGTACTTTGCATTGTTTTTTGGCGGGGATGGTGGGGGAGGGGGCGCATCGGGTTGGCCGCGCATGCTCCACATGTGGAGGCAGAGTGCGGCTTGTATAGTTTTTTGACAGGGATGGTGGGGGGCGGGCCCGCATGGAGTCGGCATGGTTCTGGGTTGGTCGCTGGCCGGGTGGGGGGAGGTGGTGTATATATAATAGGGAACCGTGACCAAGACACCCTCCAGATAGCAAGCCGTCTAGCTCACTCCAACCTGCCCTCCCAGCACATAAATATCACCCGAGCCTGAGCATGTTCAGCGGTCGTCTTTGGATGGGCAGCTACTGGGAACCAAAGCCGAGCCCATATGCGTGACGCTGGGGCGAGGTGCGCCACGCGTGCCAGGCGCGCTACGCGCCAGGCACCCCTGGAGCCCCAGCGTCCCACCATTGTTGTCGAGAACCAATGCCCATCATTGTGTCTGGTGGGCCTGCGCACAGCAAGCCACGCGCCACCACCCCCGCCGCCCCTGTCAACAACCACTTGACAGTGATTGCGGGATGTCCCCGCATGTTCCAGATTGAGCCACGAGGTGCATCTTGTATTGTGTTTTGTCACGGATGGTAGCCCTGCGCGCAGCCGGCAATATGCTGCCACCCCCGTCGACCATGTCAAAACGATACGCAGTGCTCGCGGGCCTCACGAACTTGACTCCAGACTTTGTGCCCGATAATCTTCGTCGCCGCCCCTCTTCCTGAAAGGAGGGCGTTAAATTCGGATCGGGATACATCGGTGATCTCTGAGAGCTGGCGGCTCGGAAGGACGCATCAGGCGCGGCCTTCGCAGAGCGTTCCGGCTCCTCCGGCTCCTCCTCCTCCTCCTCAATTCCTCCTCCTCCTCCTCCTCCTGAGCTAAGAAGCCCAGCGCGTCCACAATTCCACGGGCACGCGGAAGGACCAACAGCTGTTCCCCCCGCATTGGCATTGACCCGCAGGGACTCGTACTCAAAAGGTAGCGAGCTTCTCTCACGGTGCCACCCTGGAGCTCACCCTTTGAGGCTTCGGGGTATGCCCCGTGCCGGCCCCAGTGAGAAATCATGGCCGTTGCACAGCCAAATCGCAGGGGATTTTGCCAGACGCGCGCAAAGCACCAGTATTGGTTTGTTGACGTTGACTCCCTTATGCGGATGTCCTGTCTTGTCCTCCTCTTGAGAGCGTTCTGGAGCGCTCCAGAGGCTGTCTTGGGTCGCTCTCCAGGGCCCGCCCGCTTTGCTTGCACCGACGCCTCGTGTGTGCGCCGCCGCGTCGGTGTTCTGCTCACTGCATCTGTGCCTGCGTCGACGCGGCGGCTACCCCAACGCGGGCGTTCAAGGTCTAAAACCGCCAGTGGCCCAGAATCGGCCAATATTCCAAGAACAAATCACATAAACATAAACTGGTAGCGTTCCGCGCGGATTTCTTGGATCCGCGTCTGGGCCCCCTGGCGGTTCCTCTGGGGCCGCCCCTGGTGCGTTCCGTTTGCCACAGAGGGGGCTCCAGCGCCAATCCAAGAAATCCGCGCAGAGCGCCAAACAATTATGTTTATGTGGTTTCTTCTTTTCCTCATTATGGAACGATCAGGCGATCGAAAAACCGCCGATCGTTCAAGGTTGGAGGATCCACGCGGTGTCCAGAATCAGCGCTGAGGTCGTCA